TGCTCTTATAACTCTTTTTACAATCCATACATCAATTAGATCAGGCATATTTGTACATATGTTGTCATCATTCTTTTATAGACAATTACTTTCTATCAAGGCCTTGTTATCAGCTCCTCTTTTAACCCCTCCATCCACGACCCATGACCCCTTGATATATTATAAATTATTATTACCGGTATTTTCATATCTCACACCAACCGCTGCCTCACTTACCCCATGTTTTCTGTTGTTCTTCCCCCTGGAGGGGTGTGTGTGGTTGTGTGCGATCATTGCCATCAGTTCTCCCTTCCTTCCTCCCTTCCTCCCACCCCCTTTCTCCATACCCTTTTCCCATTCCTGCTCCTGGATACTGTGTGTCATGAGCTCTTATCTCTTATCTATACCTGTGTACATACTCTGGTCTAGTCTGAAGTGAGAAGCAGCACTGGGGTCATGATAGTGGTGGATGAGGAAGCCTCAAGGAACCAGAGGTATATTGTGTGTTTCATCGGTGCTTTACTGTATCTACCCTGGTTGATTCATCCCTTCTCTGTGACTGTTCTGTGGAAGGATGTTCTATTGTATACAGATGGGCTTTGGGTCTTTGCTCTGACCACCCTTGTTCTCAACCATATGGTTTTGTTTGTTTGATTGTTAAGGGTCTTCTGATAACTGTTACCTGGTCCTGATGACACCTCATGATCATACAGGCTGGTGTGCTTCTTCCATGTGGGCCTGTTGTTTCTCTGCTGGATGGCTGCTTATTTCACTTCAAGCCTTTAAGACTCCAGATGCTTTATCTTTTAATAGCTGGGCACGATCTGCCTTCTTCATCACATTTGCTTATGCACCCATTTTTTCTTCAGCAATTATGCCAGGAGGGTGGGCATCACAGATTGACGCTTGTTAGAACAACGTGTTCTTGTATTAAGGGAGTGTATGAAAAGGGCCTTCAAGTCTGTCCACTACCTAAATGTATTGCCATATAAATATATGTACATAGGCTGATACCTCTATTTTTATGGCTTAATGTACTACATATGGACACACCTATGCTTATACCTCTATCCATAGCTTTGCTTCCTAGATCATTCCTGTTTCCTTCTACCTTCCTTCTGTCCCACCATCATGCTTACCCTACTTCTGCCTCATAGCACTTCATCTCAGCTAGATTGCTGTTGTTCCAACACCCCCAGGATCTCTATATTCTCCTTGTTGTTGATTTTAATTCCCTAATTGTTCCCCTGTATACGGTGTTGTTTGCTCACTGCACCCTTCCCAGGCCCCTTTCCCTCCATAACTCCCTCCAGGACTGTTGGTCCCATTGCTTTCTCCTCGAGCTTGCTTCCCAGGCCTGTCTTATGTAAGGAGGCATACCAACAATGGCATAGACCAAATAGAAAGCAAAAGAGTGAAAAAAAGAAAAGGAAGAGAAAAAAGAGAGAAAGAACATGCATAATTTCAGGTCTGTCTGCTGACCTTTATGTTTTCTGTCACATGTACTTCTAGGAAGGGGGTCAGTTTGGCTCTGCTTGGGGCCAGTCCTATAGTCCAATCTTTTCATGTAGTCCTCATTGTGGTTACGTTGCCCTCATGGCTTGGTGAGCTGTGCTGGGCTCTGTCTGCACACTCCTGATTCTGCGGACACATAACCAATACCCTCCCCCTGGGTGGGTTAGTG